TACCCAAGAGACACATTGAAGACAGCAAGAAAGCTTGTCAAAGCCTATTCCCAGGAGGGTATTAACAACTGGGACACTGAAGAGATGCAAAGGGTCCCTCACAGCTCTGGCTCTCCAGAGAGAGGTTCCAGCTTGGCTTCAAAGTGTGGAAAGTCAAGGAGTGGATAAGCTGCAAAGGGACGCAAAAGAAGCTAGTTCTGAGAGCTGGCTGTTCCGGAGGTACCAGAAGACAGTCAATGCCTCACTTCCCTCCTGGCCACCAAAGCAGGCTAATGAACTTTCTTTTGTGATACATCAGGCAACAACGCTGTGAAGCTGCAGGACCTCTGGTGGCCATTATTGGAAACTACATCTTCCCTAGAGTTGTGGGGAAAATCCAGTCCCCCATCAGTGAGATCCAAGGGCCCATCACCCTCCTATTACAGATGAGGAAACAAAAGCTTCAAGAGTAGAGGATATTTTCTCTAAGCTTTGAAGCTGAATTTGTCACATTGTAAAGTTGTAAAACACAGGCTCCTGTGTGGTCAAAGGCAGTCTTTCAAGATACCTCCTGGTCAGGCCAGCACTCAAACTTGGCTTCAGACACAGAAGAGCAAACTGACAGTAGTTACATTATCTCTCTCAGTTCATCTGCAGCTCTGGCCACAGCCAATTTCTTTAAAACTGAGCTTGAATCACCAGACTGGGTGACAAGCTTCAGGGCTGTGCAGGTGGGGATTGGAATTCTTAATGACTGGTCTCTAGGCTCCTCACACCCACCCCTCTGCGACATGAGGTTAAGATGAAATGACATAATAAATGCAAAACATCTGCCCCATGAAAGGTACTTTTTTCTCCTCAAGGCATTCTCTGAAAGTCACACTACATGTCTTTCACTCTAAGCTTTCTACACAATCCAGCTCCCAGTAGGTATATCTGTGCTCAGGCTATTATTATAATAGGGCTACAAGAAGCATAGGATCCTAATGCTAGAAGGGACCTAGGAGGCTATCTGATGGTCTTAGCCCTCTGGCAGGTGGTAAGTAAGTTTAGAAAACGTGGATTGGCAATCCTCTTCAAGAACACATCTTGGCCTCCTTTTTTCCTCCCTAATTTCCTTAAACCCAAATGTGATAGTTCATTTACAACTTAACTTAAGCCCATTTCTGTTTTATCAAAGGGAGAAACACCTAGGAAGTATCTCCTTCTTGGGGGGAAATGTACATATTGTCTTAGTTCCTCTAGTTTAGCCTTATTTTCCTGGGGCTAAAGAACCAACATTAATTATCCCTTATTTAGCAACGCTTATTAATATTTTCCTCCTCTTGTGAAAACTGTGGATTCACCACAATTTTAACAGTGGTTATACAAAATCAACAGAGTAGTTACACAACAAATACTCACTGAATAACTTGTTGAAACTAAACAAGAACCACTAACTACAGACTAATTGATGGAAAAGGTAAAGTAAGGTGGTGGTTTTTTTTAGATTTTTTTTCTTGTTCAAGTACAGTCGTCTCCATTTTTCCCCCCATGATTCCCCTCACCCTACTCATCCCCACCTCCCACCCTCGACCCTACTCCCCTTTGGCTTTGTCCGTGTGTCCTTTATACATGTTCCTTGACAACCCTTCCCTTTTTTTCATTATCCCCATTCTCCTTCTCCTCTGGTTAGTCAGTTTGCTCTTTATTTCAGTGTCTCTGGTTATATTTTGCTTGCTTGCTTGTTTTATTGATTAGGTTCCACTTATAGGTAAGATCGTATGATATTTGTCTTTCACCACCTGGCCTAAAATAAGGTTCTTGATTTGTGTAACATTATTTATCACAGCACTTAAGCTGCATTCCCCCCAGGAGATGCAATGGGTGGCTCAGCGGCTGCTAGAGATCACTATAATGAAGCTCCAGGTCTCTGGGTAAGTAGGATTCTCCAGGCCTTTTCTTTTTTTCTTTTAATCTCATTATTGTTCTCTCAAAAGATCATATTGCATTTTCTTCCTCCTATATTTCACCACAGTTTTATATGTCTTGTTCCCTAGTTTATTAAGGCCACACTGGACTTTATTTCTTCCTTCTAGAAAAGCCATATTTCATGGATGACCTTCATTATCAGCTTCAATATTAATGAACTGATTCTTCTGTTTAAGACATGGAATTAAAATAGGCATCAGGGCCAATGGCCTTTAAAAATCACTTTAAATATCCTTTTAGATTAATTTCAAATCACTGAAATTGTTCTTTGTGTGCAACATTTAAGCCAGTTATTCAACCAAGTGCTAATATAAAAACACCCACAAAATTCAGAATAGATTTATATAAAACAGAGGTGCAAGAGAAGAAAGTTTCAGTATAATTAACAGCTTTTTAATAGTCAATCTCAGTAGTCATGAAATAAATGTAAATTTAAAAAGATGATAAACTTTTTGGCCAACCAACTTGAAAATAAATAAATTTATATATGTGTATATACATATATATGTGTATGTGAAGATAATAGCCATTTTTGAATCAGTACAGAAAACAGGTACTTAATGCAATGCTGAAAGGAACAGAAATCATACCACATTGGGGTGGGGTAAGCAACTGAATGAAAAGCTTTGAAAACAAATATTATGAACCCACAATTTCACTTCTAAAAGTGCACCCTAAGGAGACAAGTGAGGATGTTCATAACATTTAGTTTTAAGAGTTCCCATCATGGCAGAGTTCATATAGCAAAGACTGGAAACCATTCAGCTCTCACACAGCAAGGGGTAGACCAAGAAATGAGAGCCCATCACATTTGAGATAGATAAGGTTGGGTAGTTGTGTATGCTGACTTGGAAAGATGTTGTTAGGTGAAACAGCAAGATCTGTACACTATAATTCCATTTTTTTGTAAAAGCATATTTTCTGTATTTCCCACATGGGAAAAAGTTCAGAAAGACATACACTAGCCCTGACTTGTGTAGCTCAGTGGATTGAGCATCATTCTATAAGCCAAAAGTTCACTGGTTTGATTCCCATCCAGGGTACATGCCTGAGTTGTAGACCAGGCCCCCAGCTGGGGACGTGCAAGAGGCAATTGATGAAGTTTCTCTTCCTCTCTCCCTTCCTTCCCCTCTCTCTAAAAATAAATAAACAAAATCTTTTTTAAAAAGATATACACCAACATGTTAACATTTGTTAACTCTGGGTGATGGGATTTTAAGTAGTTTTTGTTTTTGGTGTCTAGGTGAAAGTGCTTCTGTCAGCCGGTCCTCCTCTTAGTAAATATGCCTGGGAAGTAACTCAAAAGGTCAAATCATTCTACAGAAGATAAAGTATCAACAAGGATTCACTGTATAGGAAATGTGTCTAGGTCCCAGCAGAAAGCTGCTTTGATTATCTGGTTTCTACAAAATTCATTATAGGGATAAGTAATTAAAGTGGTCTCATGAATAATTTCATATAGAGAAGGAGAAGCAGATCTTGAAGTAGAAATCTCAGATTTGAGATTTAGCTCTGACACTTATTACCTGTATAATTTAGTGTCACTTTTAAACCTCTCTAAGCCAGTTCCCTCATCTATAAAAACAGTGATACTAATCATGCTGACTTTTACAAATTTCAGGTTGCTGTGAGGCAAACAATATTATGTCAAAATAATTTATAATGCATGCACTGGCCAGAAGGCTCAGTTGGTTGGAGCATTGTCCCATACACCAAAAAGGTTGAGGGGTTGATTCCTGGTCAGGGCACATACTTAAGTTGCAAGTTTGATATCTAGTCGGGGCACAAATGGGAGGCAACCAATCACTGTTTTTCTCTTACATTGATGTATCTCTTTCTCACCTTCTTTTCTCTCTAAAATCAATTTTTAAAAATATCCTTAGGTGAGGATTAAAAATAATAATAATAATATTTCATAAAATAAAAACATTTTATGAATGTTCCTTACTCAAAGGCAGTGGGGTTTATGCACAACCATCATTTCATTCCCCTTTTCCTGTGAATGCACCTCGAGTCTCCTTTGAGAGGCACTCCTCCCCTCTTCTCCATCCAGGAGTAGGGAGCCCTACCCCTTGGCTTCAGGGGGCCTCAAGACCCACTCTGCCAGTGAGAAAATTTAGTCCTGATGGCCTTAGGATTGGCTCTGGGAAGGCCTCATGACCAAGCCTGAGCTCAGTCTCCCCTCTGAGATTTTCCAAAAGTGATGAGGAGGCAGAGTTCTCTCCTGTTAGGGTTGCTATGTGAAAGAAGGAAACCATAGGTATTGGTGGTTCTCAAAGCCACCACACCAGAATAGCCTGCCTAAGAATGAGGCCAAGAAGGGAAGGTAAAGCATGATGGAGCAAGGTGGATTCTGACTCAGGTTCAACCCCTGGACCCCATCTGCTTGGAGTTCTTCAGTTACTGAGCCAGGAAACACCTGTGAGCCTGTTTCAGTAGGGTTTCTAGAACTTGCCAACCCCAAAGAGTTATCTCTTTTGTTGTAGAACATCAGTTATCTTGTTCACTTAGAAAATTGAAACTGCTTGCAGAAAATTTTATTAAGAAGCTTGGAAAATGAAAGAAGTGGAGAGTGACAATAGGGACAGTCTTGAGATGAATAGGTAACCTGGGAAATATATTCTTAATCATTAACAATTCTGCATGAATTAATTGATCCGGCTTTCAGTTGGCTTGACACTAGCTGCTAGAGTGGGAAGTTTACACTATATTTCTTTTTCCCTACTTTATTAAGACTACTCTTTTCAACTGAAATGCCAGAGAATCATATTTTAAAGCTGGAAAAGATTTTAATCTATCATTCCGATGGTCTTACTTACAGATGAAGAAACTGAAGCCAAAATTAGAAAAGGAACCCACTCAAGGTCACACCAGTACTCATTACCAGGCAAGCAAAAACTCCATCAGCTATTTTTGCCATTGGACCCCACTGAGGATTACTGCTATAGAAGGTGAAGGAAAGCACCAGCTCTAGTTCTTCTAGGTCCAAACAAACTAGAAATGAGATGTATAATAGTATTAGTAACAATAGAATGTACTGGTTTACACGCTCGCTTTGGTAGCACATATACCAAAATTAGAACAACACAGAGAAAATTAGCATAGCCCTTGCACAAAGATGACCTGAAAATTTGTGAAGCAGTCCATATTTTTTCAATTAAAAAAATATACTGGTTTCCTCCAACACATACTATCAACATGCTCTCATGACAATTACCCAGGTCCACAGGCATCACTGCTCAGGAGACGCTGATTCTAGACTCAGCTCTGCTGCACATAAGCTGTGTGACTCTTGGGCAAAGCGCGTGCTGTGGAAAGTAGACCAACCAAAAGATAAGCAATGAGGAAGCCTGGACAAATGCAGCTCTCCTTTTTCCACCGGCTCTAAATCTCTTGCTCATTCTCGTTGGAGGGCACATACATCCCCACCTCAGAGTCCTTCAAGTATGTACAGTAGAGAAAAAAAAAAATAGATCTGGACTTCTGGCCAAGATGGAGGCATAGGTAGACACACTGTGCTTCCTCACACAACCAAGATAGGGACAACAACAACAACTTAGAAACAGAATAACAACCAGAACTGACAGAAAATTGAACTGTTTGGAAGTCAGACAACCAAGGAGTTAAAATAGACATGTTCATCCAGACCGCTAGGAGGGGCAGAGTTGGGCAGCAGGGTGGAGAAGGGTCAAGGCACAGAAAGCAGTGGGACTGGGCGCATAAGGCATCCCGGGCACACAAGACTGCAGCAGGCAGACCCTGGGCACGCAGATGGCTGCACATAGACCCCAGGTGTGGGGTGGCAACTGGCAGACCCAGCAAGGCGGCAATTGTGAAGCAAGGCACTGCATGCAACCCAAAGTCCCAGCACCAGGATACAGAGCCTCAGGCACTGATTGAAAACACCTGTGGGGGTTGAGGTGCATGGAGAGACTCCCAGCCTTACAGGAGAGTTTGTTGGAGAGACCGACAGGGTTCTAAAACATGTACAACCTCACCCGCATGGGAATTAGCACCAGAAAGGCCCAGTTTGCTGGGGGGAAGTGGTGGAGGGGACTGAAGTCCAACAGAGAGGGGAGCAAGTGCCATTGTTCCATCTCAGACCCTGCCCCCACATACAGTGCCACAACCCAGTGACTGGGTTGCCCCACCCTGGTGAACACCTAAGGCTCCACCCCTCATACATAACAGGCATGACAAGACAAAAAAATGGCCCAAATGGAAAAACACATCAAAGCTCTACAGCAAATACAACTAAGCAACCAAGAGATAGCCAACCTATCAGATGCACAGTTCAAAGCACTGGTGATCAGGATGCTCACAGAATTGGTTGAATTTGGTCACAAATTAGATGAAAAATGAAGGCTATACTAAGTGAAATGAAGGAAAATGCACAGGGAACTAATAGTGATGGGAAGAAAACTGGGACTCAAATCAATGGAGTGGACCAGAAGGAAGAAACAAACAACCAAACAGAAAAGAATGAAGAAACAAGAATTCAAAAAAATGAGAAGAGGCTTAGACACCTCCAGGACATCTTTAAATGTTCCAACACCCAAATTATAGGGGTACCAGAAGGGGAAGAGGACGAGCAACAAGTGGAAAAGTTATGTGAATAAATAATGAAGGAGAGCTTCCCCAATCTGGCAAAGGAAATAGACTTCCAGGAAGCTCAGAGAGTGCCAAAGAAGTTGGACCCAAGGAGGAACACACCAAGACACATCATAACTACATTACCCAAGGTAAAAATGAAGGAGAGGATCCTAGAAGCAGCAAGAGATAAGGAGACAGTAACCTACAAAGGAGTTCCCATCAGACTGTCAGCTGATTTCTCAAGGGAGACCTTGCAGGCAAGAAGGGGCTGGAAAGAAGTATTCCAAGTCATGAAAGGCAAGGATCTACATCCCAGATTGCTCTATCCAGCAAAGCTTTCATTTAGAATGGAAGGGCAGATAAAGTGCTTCTCAGATAAGGTCAAGTTAAAGGAGTTCATCATCAGCAAGCCCTTAGTATATGAAATGTTAAAAGGGGCTTATCTAAGAAAAAAAAAGATAAAAAATCATGTACAGTAAAATGACAGCAAACTCACAATTATTAACAACCACACCTAAAACAAAAACAAAAACAAACTAAGCAAACAACTAGAACAGGAGCAGAACCTCAGAAATGGAGATCACACGGAGGGTTAGCAACAGGGGAGTGGGAGGAGGGGAGAAGGAGAAATGGTATGAAGAATAAGTAGCATAGATGGTAGGTAGAAAATAGACAGGAGGAGGGCAAGAATAGTATGGGAAATGTAGAAGCTAAAGAACTTATGACACATGGACATGAACTAAAGGGGGGAATGTGGGTGGGAGAGGGTTTGCAGGGTGGAGGGGAATGAAGGGGGGGGAAATGGGACAAATGTAAAAGCATAATCAAGAAAATATATTTTCAAAAGAAAACAGATCTGTGTTGTGGAGCTGGCACGTTGTGCACCTGGCATGAGCAACAGAAAGAATGTATGCAAAGTGCTCATTACATGGCTTGTGTTCAATAAATGACAGGTATTTTTATTATAATGACACCTCAAGAAGCCAGTGGGATAAGGAATGAGATGAAGTGAGGGAAAAAAAAAGCGGAAACAACTTTGGGAGGTGTGTGCAAAGCAAATCTGAGTTAAAACCAAGGTCTTCCTGCTGTGATCCTGACAAAGGTCCAGGTACATAACTGTTGCTTTCTCGACCAGGCTCTCTGAGTGACTGCTGGTCTTAAACTAGAATCTCAGTTTGAACAAAAGGAGAAGCTTAGAGAAAGACCAAGTACATATAATTTTCCAGTACAAGGTAAACGTGTCACTTCTTTTCAATGATGAGAGAATACACTTATCAATGAATGTTTCTACACCAATAGGTTACATATATGAGGAAAATAAATTAGATCCCTATCTTATATTACACACAAAAATAAATAATAAAATAAAATATAAAAAATCAAGCTCCTGGGAGGGTGGGCTGTAATGGGGTAAAAGGCAGAAAACTGTACTTGAACAATTAAAATTTTTTAAAATCAAGTTCAGAAAGAATAGAAGAAATAAAGGTGTGTATACCACAAGGAAGAAAAGTCTTTTCTAAACATAAAGCATAGAAAAGCACATAAAAACATTTCAAAAGAAAAATTGTTTTAAGCTTATAGAAATGAAATTTATGCATATCAAAAAGTACTATGATAAAAATAAAGGTAATTGACAAACCAGAAAAATATTTTCTATTATATATACATCAGAGAAATGGTTAGTAGCTATTCTATATGAAAATGTGTACAGTAATAAAAAAGCCTCAGTAGAAAAAGTAGTAATAATAGCTAATATTTACAGATGACTTACAATGTGCCAAAATGTATCACTGCACTTAAATCTCACAACCTTATGATACTACTATTATCCCCATGTCCTAGATGATAAAACTGAGGCTTAGGCTTGTTAGTTGTCAAAAATCACATAGCTGTTCAATGGCATTGCTAGAACTGTGGAATCTGCCTGACCTCAAAGCCTGTTCTCTTAATTACACTGTATTTCAAATCAAATAGAACTCTCAATGGACAGAATATGTATATATCATATCTAGAGAGAATATATAGTAAGTATACATACTATATATGTGTGAATATATACACATATATAAGTTAAAATTTACTAGTAATCAAAGGCCATTATAATCTTGTCTATCAAATTGACTAAGATTTATAAATGGCAAAATTTAGTGGTAAGAAGTGTTAAAGAAAACTGTCACTCACTATACTTGTAGTGGATATGCACACTGAAAACACCTTTCTGGAGGGTGGCTTGGAAATATTTAACCAAAGCCTGTGGAAAGATTCACATCCTTTGTATCAGATATGTGCTGTCCCCTATAGATCCAGTCTCCACCCTTTTCTAACCCGCCAGCACCCAGGCAGACTGACCCAGTGGATTACATCAACAAGTCATGTCTTGCTTCCTGACCTGACTCCTGGGCAGAAGAGGGAAAGGGAGAATTATGGGGGTCCTGGCAGAAGATGGGAGGAGGGAAGTTGAGTACTTATTCTCCTGGCTCCTTCCCTGTAGGGCCACCTACTCCCTAGCACTATCTATCCTTGCAAGTTCCTTTCATCCTTCCCTGCCTTTGTCTCAATAGGTGTAGGGGGCTGATAGCTCTGTTGCCACTGGCCCTGGATTCCTCTGTGGTCACCCACTCCCTGCCTATACCTTTGTAAAATCACTGCTGTATGAATAAACCCTCCTTGGATTATTTTAGCTTGATTATGTCTTAAATTTCTGGTTGGGAGGCTGACTGACATATCTTTAGGCCCAGAAATTTTATTTTAGAAATCAAAAAAGTACAAAAACATGTGAGGATATTTATAGCAGCATTAAAACTGAAAACCTAAATATCCAATAATAGGGAACTGGTTTCATACATATAATGAGGCACATCGTGAACTACAGTGTAGTCATTAAAAACCAGGTTATAAAAGAATATTAATGATGCAGAAATAAATTTATAAGTGACTTTATAAGTGAATTCATAAGTGAAGATATTACGTCCCCTATAATTCTAATTTTGCATATAAAGTGATTAGAAAAATGCATCCCAAACTATTAGTAGTAATTATCTTTTAGTTGTAAGACCATAGCAGGATTTTATTACCAGTACATTTGTACTGTTTTTTATTTTTCACATTTTCTACAATTTTCATATATTATTTTTGAAATTAGAGAACATAAATCCAAAGTATTACCTTTTTTTTCCTTTCTTTTCTTTCTTTTTTTTTTAAAGAGGGAGAGAAACAGCAATGTGTGGTTGACTCTTGCACACCCCCAACTGGGGATCTGGCCTGCAACCCAAGAATGTGCCCTGACTGGGAATCAAACTGGTGACCTTTTGATTTGCAGGCCAGCACTTGATCCACTGAGCCACACCAGCCAGAGCCAAAATATTATATATTTTAAAAAGAAAAATTAGAGCTAAAATCTCTGACATCCCACCCCCATGTGCAAGTACACATGCACACACACAATTTGACAGTCTGACATTTAAAAATGAACTGCTGCAGGTCAAGGGCATGTGCACAGCTGCTGTTGCTAAAAGCATGAGAGTTCTGTCACATCTGACATCAGCCATGGTACATGCATTCCTGCTGAGCCCAGGCCCCACATGTCCATCAACCATGTTCTGTAAGTCCAGAAACCAGCTCTGGTCCATGCAGGGCAATTATAATGCCTTGACGGGGCCAGAAAGATTTAAGGGGGGACATGCAATGTGTGGACCTTTGGGAACCTTCAACTGAGACAATACAGCACACTACAGAAAAACAAACAAGCAAACAAACAAACCCCATACCTCAGAAAAATCTCAGCTTGAATCATGAATGAACATCTGAATAGCTGTATGATCTTAAGTATGCTTTTAACCTTTCTAAGCTTCAGTTTTCTCACGTGTAAAATGGGAATAATATTATGGACACAGAATATAGTTTACTAAACAGCAGTAAATATTAAAGAGAAAACAACCTCCTGAGCCAATAAGACATTCAGAATCCCAGAGACCTGATTTGATACACAGAAAAAGTTGGTGGGGAAAGAGAAGAGACATGATTTCAGCAAAGAAATGGTCCTTTGGCATTTTGCCAAGATGGTCTCATACCCAGCTGTACTCAAGCACATACTCTTAGGTAAGAAGAGCTACCTGCAGTGGGTCCCAGGTCCAAACTAGAGTCATTCAACTCCTCCTCCTCTTCCCAGAAGTACTGTGGTGGCTGCAGCATGCGGGACTCTTCACTCTCTTCACTGGGGAAGCCTGACCCAGGGGCTCCCAGGCCAGGTCCCAGTCCCGTGGCCTCACGGGGCTCCTCTGCATCAAATGACTCTAGGCCAGTGGGCAACAGGAGATCCAGCAAGGAGGTGGAAGTGAGGCCCTCTGGGCCAGGTTCATCAGATCCAGCTGCATATGCTTCCAGGGACACTCCTGCACAAACACAAAAGCCAGACCTATGAGAGGACAGAAAGGACAGGCTGCTGTGGGTTCAGATCTGTCTCCACAACAAAAAAACCCTGAAATAGGGGTGAGGCTTTGGGGATCAGTCATGACAGCCAGGGGCTGCAAGGGGGTTCTGAGATGCCATTCATATTTCAAAAGATCCAAAATGCTTAGCCAAGATAAAGCAGAGACAGAGGGAGACAGAGGCAGGAGAGAATGAGAGATTGATGAACTCAGTATCCTCTGGGCACTCACTCAAATGCAGACTGTGTCCCTGTTCTTTGCCATAACTGTACTAGGTGCTGGGAGCACAAGTAGCCAAAAGCAGGGTCCTGCTTTTAAGAAATATGTATAGACAGATTTATTCCTAGGTAGTTATTTTTCTTGTTGCTATATCAAATGGGATTTTTTTCCTGATTTCTGTTGCTGATATTTCACTGTTGGTATACAAAAATCTTTGATTTCTGAATATTGACTTTGTATCCAACTGTTTTGCCAAATTCATTTATTAGGTCAAGTAGTTTTTTGGTGGAATCTATAGGATTTTCTATGTATACTATCATGTCATCTGTAAATAATGACAGTTTTATTTCTTCCTTTCCAATTTGGATGCCTTTTATTTCTTTTTCTTGTCTGATTGCTGTGGCCAGGACTTCTAATATTATGTTGAATATGAGTGGTAAAAGTGAAACCACAATGAGATAACCACTTCACACTAGTCAGAATGGCCATTACAGACAAATCAACAAACAAATGTTGGAGAGGATGTGGAGAAAAGGAAACCCTAGTGCACTGTTGGTGGGAATGCAGACTGGTGCAGCCACTATGAAAAACAGTATGGAATTTCCTCAGAAAACTAAAAATGGAACTGTTTTTGACCTGGCAATTCCGCTGCTGGGATTATATCCTAAGAACCCCAAAACATCAATCCAAAAGAACCTATGCACCCCAATGTTCACAGAAGCAGAATTTACAATAGCTACATACTGGAAGCAACCTAAGTGTTCATCCATAAATGAATGGATCAAACAACTATGGTACATTTACACAGTGGGATACTATGCAGCAGAAAGAAAGAAGGAGCTCCTACCCTTTGAGACAACATGGATGGAATGGGGGAGCATTATGCTAAGTGAAATAAGCCAGGCAGTGAAAGACAAATACTATATGATCTCAACTATAAGTGAAATCTAATCAACAAAACAAACAAGTGAGCAAAATATAACCAGAGACATTGAAATTAAGAACAATCTGACAGTAACCAGAGGGGAGATGGGAGGGGATAATGTGGGGAAAGGGTGAAGGGTTTTCAGGAACAACTGTAAGAACACATGGACAAAACCAAGGTGGGGGGATGGAATCAGGGGAGGGAGGTGGGGATGGCTGGGATGGGGGGAGTGGTGGCGGGTAAATGCAGCCAACTGTACTTAAACAACAATAAAATAATTTTAAAAAATTTTATGGACATTGCTGCTATCCTAGCCTGAAAAAGTTCCAAAACTGCATTAAGAGTGTGATTAGTATTTCAGCAACACGGGATTTCTGAATATAATCTTTAAAAAACCATGTGAGGTCATAGATCAAATTCATCCAATGTTGGTAATGACATGTTCATGTAGCATCTTGACTGCATCTCTCCTATTTTACAAAACAGACAAATAATCAGATAAAAACAATAAATTAAAGGGCATCTTGTTATAAAATAAACAAACAAAAAAATTAAAGGGATATCTTTTTTCTCTCTCTCATTCACTAAGAATAGGAATACAGCCATATTTGCCAATTCCACAACTTAATTACTAAATTAATTACACAAGTACTACTACCTTGCTGTATGTCTTCCACAAATGTTGCTTAAAGCTTCTGGGTCTCTCAGCCTTCTCATCCAAAAATATGAGGAACGTGGATGAAATGACCTCCAAGTTTTATTTTCCACAACCAACATTCAGTGATGCAGGAAAGACAGAATTTTAGGAGTCATTTCCTGCTCTTCCCCTGTTGAGCACTATGACATAACGACAGTAGTTCATGGAAATTTTTAGTAATCATTAAAACAAAAATAAGAGATAAAATTATTTTTATTTTTTAACATTTTTATTGTTGTTCAAGTACAGTTTTCTGCCTTTTCACCTCCCCACCACCCCGGCCCTCCCCACCTCCTTTTCTTGTTTCTAACTCCCCCCCCCCATTATTGTCCATGTGTCCTTCACAATTGTTCCTGCAAATGCTTCACCCTTTCCCCCTATAATCCCCTCCCCTCTCCCCTCTGGTCACTGTCAGCCTGTTCTCAGTTTCAGTGTCTTTAGTTATATTTTGTTTGCTTGTTCGTTTTGTTGATTAGGTTCCTATTAAAGGTGAGATCATATGGTATTTGTCTTTCACTGCCTGGCTTACTTCACTTAGCATAATGAAGAGCTAACATTGTTGATGCTGCGTGCTAAATGCTTTACAAGCATTATCTGAATTTTAATCTTTACAACTACCGTATAAAATAGCAAGCCATAAGCTTGGTGTGTACCAGCAGGGTGATTGGCCACTGAAGAAAAAAGGGCATTCCAGATTCAGAAATGAGTTTTGTTTTAGCAGAACTAGAGTGAACATCCCAAATATGATGGCATCTGTGCATGCTATGCACAATCAGACAACACAGGTCCACAAATAACATCTAGTTGTAAGGACAGCATTCTGGGATAAAGTGAAAGGGGCTTAACAAAGTAAAAATCATGCTGATGTGGATAAACAGGTCTGGAAAACACACACAGAAGGAAGCTCTTGTAGAGAGAACTTGTCACCAAGAAAGCAGGTTTGTATTCTGGCTCCCCTAGCTGAGTGATTCTGAGTAGCTACTTCACTGCCAGCAGCCTTAGTTTCCTCATCAGTAAAGCAAAGACAATAATTCCTCCAACCCTCACAGAGGCAAGGGCATCAGATGAGGTAAGCTCCATGTAGTGTGTGTAAACAGTGCTATAAGGAGCATATTGTATTGAACAAATGTGTTATTACTCTATATAAAGGACAGAGAATTGGGATATTCTTAGCCAGGAAAAGAGAACATTTAAGAGAGACAATGGTCAGCATCTTCAAATATATTTTTTAAATGTTGATGTAAATAATAAAGATCAGTTATTCTATGTCTGAGGAAAAAACTAGGACTGAGTGGAAATATGGGATAGCATCAGAGGGCCCAAAAGCCTTTAACTAGAAGCTAGTCACCTCTGCCCACCTGCCTAACTATTCCTCCTGCTTTTGAGAAGTATTTTCTGGCCACTTCTAATCTAGGCTAGGTACCACTTCTGTTACCATAGCCTTCTGAACAAATTACTTTTCTCACTGAATTGTAACAGACCATCTTACAGGCTTCCTTTTGTTGAATAGTAAGCCCACAATCAGCATGTCCCATGTCAGATTTAACCTTGTCATTCCAGTGACTCAACAGTCTCTGAAACATAATAGAGGCTCAATACATGTTGAATAAATGAAGGAATAAATAAATAAATAACCTTCTTATTTAAAAAAAGAAATAACTGAGACTACATGAGATTAAGGCGCAATAGCAAATAGATAATAGTTAATAGAAAAGCTGTAATTAGATGTTTCTACCCATAAAAAAAGGTCTTGCAGACCTTCCTCCATGAAGAAAAGCTGGGAAGCTATTATTTGCTAAGCTGGGTACCCTTCTTCCAAAGTATAGGTAAAGAAAAAGAATACCCAAGATGGCATAAATACTTCATAGGATTTAAGGAGCAAGGAAAGAGGCCAGAGCTAAAGACTGAAGGACATCCATCCCCCTCTAGCACTCTGCTCAGGGTCCTCATGGCAAATCCAAAACATACAAGGCTCAGAGTGCAGGAATCTCTCCTCTTGCAAAAGGCCTGAGGTCAGAAAGGTGGTTCCCTATATTTTCACCAAGAATCATTTTTACCTATGTCTGAAAATATGTCATCAATAAACTGCACTAATTTAATAGTTATTTTCTCATTTTTAAAAAGTTAATCAGAATCATAGAATATGCCAATCAGATACAATGCCAATTAGAATCAAACTTTGATTTTAGGTAGGCTTCAGTATCTTATTAGAGGTAGAAATTTGCATTAGAATTTCAGTTTACACAGAAGAATATGGTCACCTCTGAGCTCCTTCTGTATCACATATTATGCCAGGCCCTCTCGGGATACAAACATGAGCATGAGACAGCCTCTGTCCTAGGGAAAATGACCACTGTTTGGTCATTTCTAAATTTTATACAAAATATCAGCTGACATAGTAGCCCTACTCTGCAGAAGTGATGTCCCTAGGGTAGGAGAACCAAATACTAGAAACTAATCTGGAAAAACTCATGCAGTCCAGGAAGAAAAAAAGTCAACCAATGGAAAATACTTGTAATAATTAAATAACAAAAATGTTACAGGTTCCACAAGCACATGAACAGCCAATTTTTGAGAGGGTCAAGAAGTAAAGATTTTTATCTACATATTATCAGTCACTAGCAGGTATGTTGGGAAAGACATTACTTCAGCTTTTTTAGATAAGGGCAACCTGATTTGTCAAATTCTTGGGATCTTACCCTCTCTACCAAACCACTGGAGGATCAAACACATATTGCCTCTTCAAAACCTAAGAACTGTCTCTTTCAGAGCTGAACACTTGTGTGGTGTCAGAGAAGTCACTACCATCTAGGACTTGCTCAGGCTCTCCTGGACAGCTTGAGTCTTGAAAAAACTGTGTCTGCCCTATTGAAAAAGTCTGACCAGCAGTCCTGTTGATTTCCCACCTCTGGGAATAAAATACCTTTTTAGTCAGTGAAGCTCTGTGTACAGAGAGGACTGTGGTCTGATGATTTCACTAGGTTTATTCCCTATGACTTCCATGACTTAGGTGATTCCTCCATTCTCTGAACCTCTCTCCTCTACCTGTCAAGAGAGAAGCCATGATGTCTCTCTACCTTATCTCCCTCCCCCTCCTCGTCTTCCTTGCCTAACAGCCTGGTAGGAATTAACAGAGATTTTTATAACTTTGCTGAAAAGCTGTGTGTAAAAAAAAGGAATCTGGTTGTTTGTTGTTGTTGTTGTTATTGTTGTTGTTTCTCCAGTAAACAGTTCCATCTTCTGAATGTTATTTTCCCTATAATTATTCTTTTTCTTTTTATATACCTTAGTATTTTCAAAAGTCTTGATAATGGGTAATTATTTAGGTAATTATGAGAGGTTACTTACTTTTAAACTTGCATACCAAAATAGTAGCTGAGACCTAACCATTCTATGTATATTACTTTTGCACTTAACTAATCTACCTTAAGACCACCTGATTTAAAATTTCAGATTTACACTCTTTGTAATTGATTTTTTCCCCTCTAATACCTATAATGTTTTGTTTCTTCATCACTGCCAACAGAGGGAGGGAGAGAAAAAGAAGGGACATAAAAGGATTTGGGGATCAGCCTCAAATAATTAAAAATTTGACCCAAACACACTCTGAAAAAGAGGCAAATAAAGCAGGCTTATATCTTGAGGAGTGAGAAAACAAGGCCTTAGTAATCCCATGTTTTATCTCCCCTGCAATTTACTTCTCAAGATCCAAATATCCTTTTATGATTTCTAACATCAGCTGCATCCCTACCTTCCCCCTAATCAGCAGCTCTGAAGTCCAGATCTCTCTAGGCTCTTGCCAGACATCAATATTGGAGCTGCCCAGCAGCCTCTGTTAACATAGCTCCCATACCCTTGAGTGTCAGCCACAGCAGAAATTGTCTAGCACTGTTGACCTACCACATGTATACTTATACTATTTGTGTGTCTATACACATCAAAGAGACAGTGCTGAAAGGTTTTTGCAGGGTTTCCACACAAAGGTGTGAAGAAAAAGACATACTGCTGGATACACACGTCACCCACATTAATGTGTGTCTAATAGTATGTGTTATGAGAAGTGTGTATGGGAGGCAGGAGAACGGAGAAAGAACAGAAGGGAGAAAAATTGCCCACAGTAATCCATGGCTAGCCATGTAAGGGTACAGGCAGTTACAGCTGGGCATGGGTGCTAACACACTTTAATGGCCAGTTTTGGTGGGGCTGTCACAAAAAGAAAGAGTAAATTAATCAATATTTAATTTATTTATTGACTCTCATCTTCTTCAAAGAGGATTTGAGGTTTGCCAGGATGCAGGTAGATGTGTGTGTCTGAGAGAAACCCTCGTGGACATTTTTTCTGTGCACACCACTTAGGTCCTTACCCATCCCTGATTGACAGTGGAGAAAAAGTACTCCTGTTGAACTGATCCTTCCTGGAACATGCTCAGGAGTGGCCCCTTTCCCCTCCCACAAGTTTTCCTTGGCATTCTGTCACTATGGCCCATGGTAATGGCCCATCTCATGAAGCAAGATTGCTCCTCCCTTCAGGAAGAGACACTTCACAAGTCTCTCCTTCATCACACTCATCACACAATATGCCTATTTTTGTGGGTTAACTGAATGGGAACTACCTACTAGCCACTGTCCCATGCACACTGCTACACATAAACACTATACCCTTGTGCGTGGATTGGAAGTGGAGTCACTCCAGCCTATCTGACATGGGAGCATGCATCACAAGTACACACTCCAGTACTCCTCTCCACCAACACCAGTTACACCTTAATATGTACTCATGACAGCTCTCCCCATCACTCTGTCGAGCTACAAGGAGAAGCTGTTTAGCCATGTCCTGATTTGACTCATCTTTGCAGACAGCTCTTCTCCCTACCCCCATTCTGTTGTGGTGGCCTGTCTCATAGGCTGTCACACACTTTGTGTCCCCCACCACCACCCTGCACACACCTAAATCCTAAGTCTGCCACTCGGAAGCTGTTCTCAGGCTCTGCCTCTTTCTCAGAGGCACATCCATTTCACACCTGCCCCCCACCACCCAACGTACAGCCCAGTGCCCTTGAGTAGCTTCTGAATGGGAAACTGGTTCACAGGGTCTCTCACACACCCCTGTTGTCAGCTGCGCGGGAGCTATCCAGGAGTGTCACTGTCAGAGACTTTCTGGGGCTGCCATACGTCTTTTTTGTCAACTCCTAATAAACTAAGTTGCCCAACGCAGCTTATGTAAAACACTCATTCACAACGACACACCCTTCCTCCTGTCCAGTAACCCACACACGTAAACACACTCTCCACGGTCGCAGAAGCTGTATGTAGAGGTTCTTGACAGTCTCCCTTAGAAAACACAGAGACGTCCACCCCACACTCACTGTCGCAGCCCCATGGGACCTTTAGATGCTGTCTCGCATTCTTGTGTGACTGTCGCAGGGACTGGCGGCCCGTTCATCCTCTCAGCCTTGCTCCGCTAGCCCAGAGCGACCCTGGTCCAGTGCCGCAGGGAGCGTGCTGAGGTGGCTGACGACACTCGCGGCTCACTCGCGGGTGTGTGTGTGTGGCCCTCGCGCATGGAACGGCTCACAACGCAGGCACACCGGGTCGCCCCACGCCCCCACCCTCTCCCTACGAGCGCGCGTGTGTGGTGGAAGGATCGTGCCGTAGCCCAGCCAGACCCCGCTCACCACCCCACGCCAGTCCTTTGTTAGCGGCCGGGAGCTGTCCAGCACCGCGGCTTACCTTGCCCGTCCGCCCAACCCTGACGCCTGCGATCGCTGGTGCGCACTCACCTCCGGCTAGCAGCAGGAGGAGCGTCCGTAGCAGCAGCGGCAGCGGAGGAGCCCGCGGCAACCGGCCCATGATGCAACCGTTGCCACCCGTAGCCGCAGCGGCCGGCGCTTCTGCCCGCGTTGGAGGCCTCTCAGGCAGCCGGGGAGGTGCGCGTCAGCCCCAAAGGAACACGCTGCCGTCACTCACCCTCGGTCCCGCCCAGTCGCGTGACAGCGGCGCGCCCCCGAGGAGGTAAGAAGGGCACGGGTGACCTCCCCTCTGTCTCTTCCCCTTTGCTGTGTCAGCCAGAACGGTGGGGCCCTGGGAGAGGCTGGGGCTGCAACTGCGAGGCCTGGAATTTGGGGCCTCGCACCTCCTATTTGGCCGCAGCAACGGAGGTGAGCTCCCGGAGCCACCCAGTCACCCATCTCCTGGAAACATTTCCTGAGCACCCAGGAGGCAGGCAGTGGTCACCTTCATCAAATGAGACTTATCAGAGAATGGAGAAGTGAGAGGAGTATAACACTAACGCTGGGCGTGGAGTGTTGACAATTGTACGACATGAGGTTGAACAGCAGCTTCAGGAGGAGGAGGAGGAGGAGGAGGAGTGAGGTCAGGAAACGCTTCTCACGGGCACTTGAGAGGGCAAACCACGAAGGCAACGTAAGAGAAGGATGAGGCAAAGTCCCTGGGCCAGGAGGGAGCAAAGAACCAACTTGGGGCCAGTCTAGTGCACATCCTTCCTTCAAATTGGCCCTGAGACCTTGAGTGAACCTCTTCACACCCCTGGGCCCCAGTTGCCTCATCTGTTGAAAGCAGGCTTTGAGTTATTAAGGCAGTGTTTCATTCTTCTTTCTTCTTTTTTTCAAACTACAAGTTTATTTAGAAAATTGTGGAGGTAGGAAAAGTGAGCCATAGAAGAAATGGGCTCAGAAAACAAGTTCCAAAGGCAAAAGAAGGACCCTTGGAGCTTAGAAGAAAGACACAGGCAAGGAAAATGCACCTGGGGAAAGGCCTGAGTGTGCTCCACAGAGAGAGCCACTAAGGCAGTGTTTCTTAACTTTTGTTAAGCGTTTTGACCTTGTGACAACTAAAGTTGTACCAGGGCAACTGGTACCACTTCATGTACCAGACATCACTGTAGTGAACAAAACAGTCACACCCCCATCCTCATAGTTTAGTGAAGAAAACAAAGAAAAATCAATAAGAATTACAATTATAGTGAAGTCTGCCAAGAAGCAGAAGGACAATGAAACAACATAGAACAGAAGTTTTACACTTGCCTTCTTGAAGGCACATTTAAGCTGGCACCTGGAAGGGTGAATGGATACAAGGTTGGGTTGGAGAGAACATTACAGGCAGAAAGAAAAGTGCATGTGTAATTCCTGAGTTAGAAAGGTCCTCAATCTCTCTGAGAAACAAAGAAAAGTCCCAACACTTTTGGAATGACTGCAGTTTGAACATGTCCAGCAGTCAGTATTTTATGGAATTTTACTTTATATATAGTATATTCAGAAAACACTTCTTAAAAATAAATTATTATACTGAATCTGGTATTTCAAATGTAGTCTTAACCCCTCTATCACTAGATATTGGATCTCAAAGAACTTTTCCAGGACTAAATACTTAGGAGAAACAGGTATTGAGGTGGAGGGTATGTTACAGTAGATAGTCATGGAGCACCAAGGAGTTTCCCCCATTGGCCAAGATAGTGCTGGGGGAGGTTCTTACACTGAATGGGCCAAAAGTTAGAAAGATAAATCCAGAGTGCCAAAAGCTAGAAAGATGAATGTACAGGACCTGAGAGCACCAAAAGCTAGCAAGATAATAAGACAGAGAAAAAAAGCCCTCCCTCCCTCTCCCTTTAAGAACTAAGGGCTTGAGCAGGAAGGGTCAGATGGTCTTTGAGACAGGAGTCCACCATTCTCCCAAGTTGTGGCATCTGAATAAATTTCTTTCCTTTTTCACTAGTACCTGTCTGACAACTTTGGCTTTCACTGAAGCAGGCAGCTGAACCTGCACTTCAGTTACAGGAGATAAGTGGAAATGAATCCTAATCAAAGGAAAGAACATGAGCAAAATGTAGCTCAGTATGATAAAATTACTTGCCATATCAAATTTAGGAGATAATAGTTTCATGATTAGGATGGGGCAGAAGACAAGTTTAAAAGTTTAAAAAGATGACTTACTAGCTAAATACCTTACTGAATTTTTGGTTAATTCATACAAAGTAGTAGGCTCTTATGTTATAAATGAGGCAGTGAGCCATGACTGTGTGGCTCAGTGGATTGGGCATCGGCAAACAGAAGGGTTGCTGGTTTGATTCCCAGTCAGTGCACATGCCTGAGTTGCAGGTGGGTTGCTGGTTCAAGGCATGTGAGAGGCAACCAATGGATGTTTCTCACCCTCTCTTTAACCCTCCTTCTTCTTTTCCCTAAAAGTAAATAAAGATAAATAATTTTTGAATGAGGCCACAAAACACATGGGAAAAGTGACAAGTCTAAGAAGATAATGCAAAGTAGTAAATAAATTTAGAATTTTTAGGTAAAGCTATTCTTAATTCATAGAACTACATCATTTCATTTAGCCTGTGGTCAGATTAAACTCCACAGACCATTTTGTTCAATGGACATTGTAGGGTCTGGAAGGGTGTCAAGATCTGGTAGTAAAGGATCTTGAAGGTCATAATGAGCAGTTTGGACTTTATTCTCCAGAAATTCATTTTTTATATAAGAATCATGTCATGGTTAGGTCTGTATTTTACACAGATGATTCAGAGGGCACTAGAGAGGAAAGATTGGCCAGTGGAGAGATTGCCACAGGTGTCTCAGGAGCAGATGGTAGAAGTCTGACCTAGGGCTAGCACAGCATATTTGAAAAGACACCCCAGAGACAGCACTAGTATGACTCAAAGAATGATGGAATTGAGTCCTGTTGATGTCATTTTTACTGTTATTCTCTATGCAAATATGAATTAGACAAGACCTAATTTATAACAGTTTACACAAAAAGCCCACATATAGGAAATGACTACAAAGTGTAAAGCAAGTTTGGACTTAAAATGAGTACAGTGCCCAGAACAAGGAAGTTAATGGTCCTGCTATTTGGAACTCTTTGAACTTTGTCAACATTATGTTTTTATAGTAACTTTTTTTGTTTGTTTGTTCAGTGAAGGACCAAGTAATGGAGGAGTTATCCAGGAACATATCAGAGAAAACAACTGTTAAAGCTAGGAGTATCTGGCTTGAAAAAGAGAAAACTGAGGTGCATCTAAACCCATCATTTGTGTCCGTTTTTCCTCTGCTGCAGTGAAATGAGTGTCCTGCTTTATCACAGGCCAACTTCCTCCACTGGGGCTCTGTAGGGAGCCATTTCATGGGGCAAGGAAATGTAGCTCAGCATCCATGTGGAAAACCAGTGGGGAGCCAGTTGGCACACAGGACCATGCCCACGGAGAGGTTTCCCCATGGGGAATTAGGCCTGCATTGTACCTAGACTGTTATGAGACTTGCTTTTGCTAAAACTCTCTTACCCTGAATTGAGGTAGCAAGTGCGTACTGTAACTTCCTAAGATCTGTGCTAAACCTCCAAACTATAGAGTGTAACTGATTCAACCACTTTTCCCCTTGGTCTGCAATATACTTCTCTTTGAAGTAATTAGCAACATTCTTTCCTTTGTTATCTGTCAAAGGTAATCACCTGCAGTGAACCTGTGCACAGTAGATGAGGACCATCCTCCACATAATGTACCCAGAAAAGCAATAAAAGCCTGTCTAGGCAGAGGCTGGGGCCCTCTCGCCCTCTCTCCCTCTTAGAGAGTGGCCATGCCACCCCTTTTTCTCTACAGGACTTCAGTAGTCCATGTGTATTTGTTCATACCAATGACAACACACATACATGGATACTGCTGGCCATTATTTGTCTCCTTTTCAAGAACTTCCATTTAAAAGTATCTCTTTTCTGACAGTGTCAGTCTTTCTTTCTCCCTGACCATTCTCATTAGGTATAAAAACATGATCCAGAATTTCTCATCTTAAAAAAAATACTGGAAGAGATGAAGTCATGCTGCTGGTACACTGAGTACATGTGCTTGCTTTTACCTCCTGCTCTTGACCCTAGAAATCATAGGAAATATACATATGTACACCTCGGTCCACAACAGCACTGGAATACAAAATGGGATTAATTTGGTGGGTCTAAAATGATGAGGAAACACTTAAAAAATAAAAAGCAAATAAGATTAAATTGCTGGAGAAACCCACAGTGCAAAATGCATGCCCTTCTAATTAGCTCTTAGGTTAAAGATAAATCACAATATACATTTTAGTCTATTTAGAAATTAATGACAACATAAGAACATTGCATATGAAAATCCATGGGATGCAGCCAACAATTAATTCACAGAGGATATTTTATAGCCACAAATACATTTATTAGAGGAAAAAAGACAGATTAAAAGTAAATGAACCAAGTATTCAGTTTAAGAATCTTTACAACACACACACACACACACACACACACACAACCCAAGAAATTTCTATTGCTGTTAAAATAACAATAAAATCCAGTAGAGCTATTTGGTTTTTTAAAATATTTTATTTATTTATTTTTAGAGAGGGAAGGGAGAGAGAAAGAGACAGAGAGAGAGAGACATCAATGTGCAGTTGCTGGGGGCCGACTGGGAATTGAACCTGCGACACTTTGGTTCACAGCCCACACTCAATCCACTGAGCTATGCCAGCCGGGGCCTAGTAGAACTATTTGTTAGAGGCCAGTTGTTTGAAAAGATGAATAAAGCAGTCAAAACGTTAGTATCAAGATAAAAACGAGAAGACATAGAAAAAGCATTAGGAATGACAATGGGAACAAAACTACAAATAAGATTTTAAAATTACAAGCAAAATTTCACATATAATTTATTAATAAAGTTTTAAGTTTAATTGGAATGAATACTTTTAAAGAAAACACAAAATACTGAGCCCTGGCTAGTGTAGCCTTGTGAATTGAGTGCAGGTCTGCGAACCAAAGGGTCGCTGGTTCAATTCCCTGTCAGGGCACATGCCTGGGTTGCAAACCAGGTTCCCCGTAGGTGGTACACAAGAGGCAACCATACATTGATGTTTCTCTCCCTGTCTCCCTCCTTTCCCCT